TCTCCCAACCAACCTGCGCTCGTCCTGTCAACACATATGGCTCTGAGGCTTATCTTTCAAAAACACAAGGGCTTGCTCTGTCATGTGGGTCACACTGGCAATTTCTCCTGGCCCTGGCAGGGACGTGGCCCTCTACACCCACTACAAACAACCATTAATTGATGTGGCAGAGATCCGGATGTCCAATTGGTTTTGATTACCCCCCTTCGCAGGGGAGCTGGGACACTTGGTGGGTGATGCACTTTTCCGTTTCAATTAAAATCAAGGTTGAGTCACAATAAATCAGAAAATACTGCTGTTATGCAGATTAGCCAGCAGGTTCTTAGCAAGCACTGAGTGGTCCCTCTGTGATTTGGTACATACGGGAGAACATTGCCACACTGCTCTCCACTCCCCCCGCCCGAGTCCCCCCAGAGGAAGTATGCAGATACTGGATCAAGTCCCACAGGACCTTGAAGAGCCAATTTGGGGCAGCGCTGGCTCTTTTAAATCACAAACAACAGGAAGAAGAGAGTTTCTTTCTCTTACATTTCATGCAGCAACAGGGTGAAAGTTACCTCTCTAAATCAGGTTTTGAAACAAATTCCGACTGAAGCAGCTTTTTCATTCACATCTTAGCGCCCCTTGCTGCGCCGCCAGGAGGAAGAAATTACTTTACCTCAGCGTGTGACTCATATGTATGAGGCCAAGAATTATCAGATCAGCCTCACAACAAGTGTGTTAAAACTTTACTAGCACTCCAAGATTAAATGAAGTTGAAAACATGCACATCCTAAGTTGATGAGACAGGAGAAAGTGGTTATAAAATCTATTTCAATATTGTTATTCCAGTTGAAGCTCTTATGTCTTCAAAACTAATACGATGTGTTCCTTGCTTTTATAGTGAGCTTTTATCAAATAGCCTTGGCTCCAGCAAGTCTTTCAACACTGTACATTATGGCAGCAGTTGTATCTTTCACAGTATTTCACAACAACAATCTGTGATGTTGCTGTAATTTCAAGGTACAAGGTAGACTGAAGTTTTAGTTCCTTTTATGCTACTCACAATAAGCAAACATTATGTACAAAATTATATACACTAGATTTGTGGATAAATAACAAGTCATAGGAACAAAACTATTTTACTGATGCTTGGTAGATGGGTGCCAATGATCTTCTGAGTTGTTTTTAATCACCCGCTGCTCAGCCCTCCGGTCCTGGATCATACACATCCTATGCCAGTTTGTGATGTTTCCAGTCAGGATGCTTTCTATTGCCCCTCTATAAAAGTTAACTAGAACTTGGCATGGGAATTTAGGCTTCTCAAGTTTCCATAAGAAATACAGCTCTTTCTCAGGTTTCTTCACCAGCGTAGAGATGTGAGATGACCATGGTGGGTTCTCTGTGATGCTGAACTGTTCACCTCAGCTCCACTGATGTAGACAGGGGTATGTGTCATCACCTCTTTTTAAAAAAAATTAATAATCAACTCCTTGGTTTTGCTGACGCTGAGCAGTAGGCTGTGCACCGCTCTGCAAAATAGTTGACTTCCTCCCAGTATGAAGTCTCATCATTGTTTGAAATCCAGCCAATGATGGTGGTGTGTTTTTTTTTTACTGTACTTTTTTGTTATTACAGTTTGATGATATTTATAAGTTATTTCATTTCTTGCTTTAGAAGGTCTTGATGTCAGAAAATGAATGTCCACCAATATATTTTCAAACGATTAAATATTAAACTGATTTAAATGGAGCGTAACAATGTAAGCTTCCTTGATCAAAAACCTACAGACACAGAAAACCTCTATATCACCTGTAGGGTAAAAATGCTCTGCTGTGGCTTTTTCTATATAATGCACAGCAGGTCTTAAAAAGTGTGTGAAGCCTTTCCTTAAAGCAGATTGATATGCTGCAATATTATTTTGTTTATACACTATGTTTCTCCTTTCAAAATCCCATGGTAGCAGCAACAGCTTGATTATTTGGGTTGCATCTGACCCAAACAACCGCATTTATTTTGTACTTGTCTATTTTAGTGCCTGACTTCATTAGACACATCAACACTGTCGTGAGGCTGGTCATAAGCATGCAAATGACTCAGACTTTGGAAAGCTCAACCAACATTTTTATTTACAATTAACTGCTAGTTATAGTTGCATAGTTACTTTGACACTCCTTCCTCATGTGGCCTTTTTTGGGGGATGTGGAGTTGACATTGTAATTATCATGCATCACTGATGACTCTTCAGGTGATTGTAAGATCATTAAGATGACGCTCCGGCCGATGTTTGTGTCTAATTGCCTTATTAGCAGGAAGAATGGAGGGGAACTGTGGTTTCGAGACAAGGCAAGAAAGTGTAAGTGCAACCAAGAAGCATTCGATTAAGATGTTTTCAAACTGTAAATGTATCTTAATAAATCATCTTTAAGACCTCAGTATGCTTTAGGTCTAGGTGCAAAGGCATTCATTTGTCTGTAATGGCCACTGATTGCATCCCACTGCCTCCTCAATTTCCTTGAAAAGAACATGCATTTGTATTGTCTGGATGAAATGTACAAATGTGGACAATGGTGCACACTATTGGTAAGTTTCACCTCAAAGGTATTCATAGTGTTGCACCTCTGCACACCTGGTCAACCATTGTGATTGTCAGATTGACTGTTTTGGAAAGTTACATAAAATGGCTGATGCAGGCTCTCGTCTCCGATTCCACTGTTGGATAGACGGTTTCAGACATTGTTAGAGGATCTGACAAAATGACTTTTGAACCTTTTACTCTTCCCAATCAGTAAGTGGTGTTGCCAGTAGACACTTTTGGGGTGTTGTCCCCATGATAATGGCAGGAAATGTTAAATGGACACCACTTATAAAGCGATTTCCTACCTACCTTCCTGCAAAGCACCTATTCACACACATTCACACACAGAGCTGCCATGCAAAGGCAGTTGGCATGACCATTGGGAACAATCAGGGGATATTTCGACATATAGACAGGAGGAGCTGACATGTGGACAGGTGGAGCCAGGGATCCAACTGCCAACACTGCGACTAATGGACGACCCGCTTTACCTCCTGAGCCACAGCTGCCCTAGGCAAGACTGAATTTATCTCCTGTATGCCTGGATGCACATTGGAGCAACAAGTGCAAAGCAGCCCCAGGTTTCTTGTGCTTTATCTCACCTTATGACAACAGTGTGTTCCACCCAGATTTGCCTTTAGCACAGAAAAACAAAGATGGATTTCTTATCAGGCTCACAGGTACACATACTTGTAACTAATTGTAATTCAATGTGTATAACATAAAGATGTTATCTGGTTATGTAAATGGGTAAACGTAAATAGTATAAAATAACATATACCGGGACAGACCTGGTTGACAATGCAGACTTGGCAGTATGCTATTAGCCTGAGAGAGACCAGAAGTATCACTTTGCAGTTGATAATAATAAATCCCACACACTTCACATGCACCAACAAAGACATTTCAAAACACCATGCTGTGCTTGCTAAAAGCAAAAGAGCACCCTCAGAAAGTAATATCTGACTACAGAAGTCAAGTCTCTCACTAATCGAGGACTGCTCTCACAAATCAGGAGAATGCATCATCTCTTTTTCCTGGTTGCCTGGCAGAGGTCATAGAGCAACATCTGCCAGGCCCGACCTGCCTACTCTGCTCCCTACCATCCCCCTCCTGTCCAGTTCTGGATTAGAGATGACCTAAACCCCCCCTGCATGCCGCTCTGCATGGATTATCTCTTAGAGAAGCTGCACTGCTGTCACACATTAACCTGCAATCACAAGTCTCTTGTGCAGAGAGCACTCGCAACAAACCTCTAGAAAGGGTTGTTACAGTCAGATATAAACACACTGTAAAGCAGCTGTCTGTTTTGTGCACCGTAAGAGCAACATGTTATTCAGAGTGAGCTGCAGCTGAGCCAAGTTCAGAGGCAAAAAAAATGCTAAAATAGAAAGCACTTTATCACACAGATCCTAAGGTCTGTAAAATGATGCAGGTAGCAGCAGCTTTCATTTTGTTACTACATTTACTCGAGTTCTCCGCACTGGTGCGGACTTTCGTATCATCTATCAGTGAACATGTTTGCTGGGAGAGAACATGGTTTTGCAGGACGTAGAAATTTTGTTCTATGTGACTTTTCTTGCTCCAATAGCTGTGCTGCATGTTATTCATTTACATTATTATTCATCCACTCAGACCTGATAGATTAAAGGAATGACATTCAGCAAAGGCTTTCTCAAAGGAGCCTCCCCTCTGTGATGGAGACACACACACACACACACACATCTTTATGCTTTGGAAACTAACACAAAAACAGATCGACAGACAAACAATATGCTCGCACAATTGGAACTGGCCTGTCTTGTCACTAGCCAACACAATATGTGGATGAGCTTACAGATGCAGTCAGACTCCGCTGAGCGCAAAACTGCGACTAATTTGAAGCTTCACCAAGAAGCCATGAATCATTCAGCCCTGTGAGACTGATCGACAGTATAGTACCGAGCACCCCGTAGACAGTGACAATATGAAGAATGCACATATGCACAGACATACATATGGAATCATTTGCTCCAATAAAATCACACATATCATCCTTTCAGTTGGAGGAGAGCAGAAGCGGAGGAGAAGGAGGAGGAGGGGGAGCTGTATTCTTTGCAGCAGCAACAGTTGGCTGTCTGTCGACTGAGAGGAAAGAGTTAGCTGCAGCACAGAGACACACACACGGGGATACACAACATGCATGCACACACATACACACATTCGGCAGGCGATTACAGATAGAAAGAGATGGACGGCGAGCCGAGAGAAGAAAAGGTGACAGATAAAGCCACAAAGCCACACGGCTGGAGGGATGTCTGGCAACCGGTGGCCAAAATGGAGATGCAGTAATAAGAGAAAGGAAGGGGGATTGGAAGAACCAAAAGGGATAGACACATGTCAAATGTTGGAAAACACCATGGTAAACAGCATGATGGAGACGACAAGAGGGGAAATCACTCACTGGAGTCATCTGAGTCGTATCCCTCCACATCTGGCTCCTCATCCCTCTTGGTGGCCTGTAAGGAGGCGGAGGCTCCTGCACAAGCCCGGTCTGGTTTATCCTCATTGGGGCGGTCACTTTCGGCAGCGGCGGTGGTGGAGGCGGCGGCAGCCGGGGTGGTTGGGAGGGCAGCACACAGGGGCCCAGAGTGGCCCACTTGGTGGGGCGCGACAGGGGGGAGGCCCCGTGGGTAACGGGGGAAGTAGTCAGAGATCTGCTTGATGGGCTGGATGGGGCCAGGGCACACGTCAATGGCCATGTGCTCCTGGATGCTGATGGTGGGTTTCTCGCCTTTGCGTTGTGTCATGCATGCGGTCCAGCCCGGAGCCTACTCCCAAAACCAAAAAACTGAGAAAAGAAAAAAAAAGAAGATGAACAGACCCACCCCCCTCGTCGTCCCCTTCCTCCTCTTGCTTCTCTGGAAGAGGCGGGTGTTGTCCTGGGAAGGTGCTGATGGGTGGACAGGTCCGGGTGATCTGTGGATGTCACCACACTGGTCTACATGGAGATCTGGAGGCTGCTGATGTGTCTTCCAGTGCTGTCCTCAGACCCAGACCATGCTGTCTGACAGCCTCACACACACTACTACCTATCCTCCCGCTCTCTCCTCTTCCTATACCCCCACACTCTGCCCACGTCTGCGCTGCCTATCTGAGGGAGACAGAGCAGAGTGTGTTTGTGTGAGGGAGTGTGAGGGAGAGGGAAGGGATTAGAGAGGAAGGAGGGAGGGATCAGCTGATGTCACTGCCTAGCAACCGAGCGGTAAACAGGAACTGTCGGCTGAGGTGCTTAATTATGATATTAACCCCATCCATCTGTCATTGGGAAGGAAGATCCAGCACCCTGCCAGACTCATGCGTGTGAATGTGTGTGTCCTTGAGTGTGTGGGTGTGTGTGTGTGTACCTCTGGTGCTATGATTACCTGGACAATGAGCCATGAATTGATGCTTTGTGTCATCTGCTCGTGATTCACCTCTAGGATGTTTTGTACTGAAAATGTTTACGCTCTTTTCCCTGAGCACTTTTCAAAAGCAAACACGCAAATTAGCAATTTGAGTCTAGTTTCAGTGCATTTTTGACTGCTTTGTAATGGCCCCCACGTTTGTAAAAGTCAAAAAACAATTGGTGTAGATGGGGCCACTTAGTGCAAAATCTTCCCTCGGGCCCCAAAAAGGCAAATGCTACCCCTGTCCTCTTTTCTTTTCTGCCATCAGACCTTGCTTGTTTCACTCTCCTAGCACACAAACACTCCATACCTTCATTCATGCTTTCATTCATGCACATTTGTCTGTTTTTAATGCACAGACCTGGTGCATTAAAACAGACAAATGTACACTCTGTGTACCAATTATGTGCCTGATGTTATCATATGTTTTTTAATTACTTACCATCTGTTGCAATTTTGTTGGAGGCAGTGGAAATCTACAACACTGTACACTTGATTAATACACATGTTGCCACATTTCTCCATTGTGCACAGCTCTGGTTGACACTGGGGCTGTTATAATTATCTGTGACACGATGCTGTCTTGTTAAAGCTGCAATATAGGTGAGACCTTCATGTAAAATTACACCTGTCCTATCATCATACATTGTGTTACTAGAGACCCTAAATATCCAACAGACAGTGCTTCTGTATTTGTGCTTTCAAAACTATGAACTGTGTTATCCTCTGCAGCTTTTATTCAAAAATGTTATTTATGTCAAAGTGTCATTTAGTTACATTGACAATATGTCACACTTGATTTCTCCCCTCCCCAACATACCAGCAAGTGCTCAGCACTTTTCATGCTACTCACATAACATAACAAAGAGACAATCTCTCAGAAGAGGCTCTCCCTGTAGATTTACTGGGAACTCCAACCTCTGGAGCAGCCCTGTCTTCATGTCCAGCCATTCACGAACTGAACAAACATGTCTACAGTGAACAGATGATGCAGCACCCTCTTGTGTTAGTTGTTGGCAACATCGAAATGCAAGTGTGGTTTTAATAATTTCATATAACAATCTGACACAACACGAGCCTTCACAACCAATCGTTTTCTGTTCAGCTTTTTTATGTTCACAGTCTGTTACCTATATATTTTCTTCTATATTTTGTAAACAAACCAGAATACATAAACATTTCCTTTCCATCTTATTAACCAGTAAATGAAACTTAGCATCACTGCTTTGGAAAGGATTTTACCTCCACAAAATAACTCTCTTTTGGTGCCTTCTGAACAGGTGGCCTCAATTATATCCTTCTCCTCCGCGAGGTATGGCATCCTCAAAGGATCCATGCTGAGGGTTTCCCGTCTGTCTTTAGAAGTGAAGAAGTCATCTTGATAAATAGTGGAAAAATAAGCTCCAGTGGATCAGTTTATTTTGACTTGACAAATTGAGAAATCCCTATTCAATCCAAAGCCAATTCATCATTTTACACCTCTATTCACTTTGCCTGACTAAATTTCCAGACGGGCAATTGTTATTTTTCCAAAAAAGAAAATGTCCAAGTTCTTTGGTGATTTATTGTGCCTATCAAACAAGAGACACTTTCCTAAAATGTCATTATGGGGAATGTTTTTTTTGTGAGTTTGAAGATTAAGAGCTTGTGTGTGTGAGTGTGTAAGTGCAGACATACACAATGGGGACTTTAGAGAGATATAGTAAAACCATTATTGTTTGTGAATAATGCATTGAGAGATAGCAGTGTGGGACTCTGGGGTATTTAAAGTAGCCCTCTTTCAATGCCCAGCTACTCAGAGGTAATTATCTCGAATAAGCAGTGAGACAACAGTAAACACAAGCAGGGCACCAGGTAACCCTTTCTATGAAAACGCAAAAGGACTAAAGGATCCCCAAGACAAAAAGCACCTAAAATCTAATTTTGATTTTTCTTTGGCAGACTTACTAGGTTTTGATTTTGCATCAAAGTTTTAATGACCAGACTTCATCACTAAAGAAATCACAATCACTTTTTGCCAACAAATCTGAGATATCTAAATCTCCCTTTTCACTTGGCATCAGCATGTTGTATTATACTGTCATTACAATTTTTGTCTCCAGTATAGTAGGCATTTAGTATAAGTATTAATAAAGTATTTTGGATTAAACCCAATTTGTTCTCCTAAAATTGTCATGCCTGTTACTTCATCTCATAATACGTCAAAAAGAAGACTACTCTACAGATGAAAACAACTGTTACGGTCTTAAGGTCTCTTTTATGCTTGAAATTAACTAGTTGGTAAAATATCATCCAACCCTGTCTCAGGGTGAACGTGTTTAAATCGAAATGCAAACACTGAGCCTCCCCGATCTCTCTCTAAGATTTACACTCCAACAATACTGCCTTTGGAAAGGGGTTTCAGGTACTGTTAGACAATCCACCAATCACTTCATTTCGAGCACTGACATTAACCTTTCACACCTTATGTTGAGTCTTGACTTGTATTTAACCAGGATTTCACTTCCTCTTGGCACTTGATGTTACACAGGACATTATTTCATGTGAGTGGCCACAAACGAGTTGGTAGACTCTGTGTAGGGCTTTCAAATTTAAATGGAAAAACTTTGTGACCAGAGATGGGATGTTATGAAAATCAGCTTTAAGCTCCAGTCCCCTTTAAAAGAAGCGCATCCTCCATGGAGACTCATTGACAGTTTTGTCATGGAGAGCCCATACCAGTCTCCAAAAGGAAAGAATGTGCTCACAGTCCAAAGGCTTCAATATAGTGTCTAAAATATGAATACACTGCACATTAAATATGCCACCCCAGGTAGATGATTTCCACTCAGAAGTTGACTTCATGTTTGTGGGAATACACGCAGCATGGTGGCCATGTCCTCTGTGGGTAATGATGCACACCAAACGATTTCAATTTGATGGCATGGCACCACCTCATTGGAAATCTAGCTGTTGAATGACTAAAAAGAATGTCTGTCTACATTTATTAGAAATAATGAGGTGTTCAAACTTATATATAGATGCAGACATCCAGGTCTATAAAATATGTTTCACTGTGTTTGTTTATTCTGCTGAAGTGACAAAATTGCACTCAGTTATGCATTTATATTCACACGATGATGGCAGTTTTCCCAATACTGTGACACAATAGTCTTTGTCTTTGATGATTTTACAAACTGAATCCTTAATCCTCCACAATTATTGTGTTTACATGACAAGATTACTGTTTACTGACGACTGACTCTGAAGTTACAATTAATCAGAATCTAAAGAAAATTGTAGAAATGACAGCTTTCTACCACTGTTAAATGTAGTAATTTGGTAATGTGTTCATTCATTCTTGAAAAGAAGATGTCCCATGTTGCTGGCCACAGTAAACCCAGAAAAATTCTTGTGTTCAAATGTTCAGTAACGTGAGCAGAAATTTGAAAGTATGCATGTGTGTCTCTGCCATGTTAAGCCTCTAAAAATGTACAGAACACCTGCATCTACACTGAAAGATTATATGAGAGAGACATGAAAATTATACTGAATTGCCCACTTTGTTTTTACTCAAGTGTTAATTTTAGTGCAAACACTGACATGGTGCACCATGAAATTACCGAATGGGAAAAAATCCACTGGGGGACCAACAAAATTACCATGTTGCCAGTCTATGGTTACTGCACTTGTTCTGCAGCAAAATCGGGTGTATTTGTATTTGTAAAAACCAAACAATTACAGCGCAGGCAGTGTTATGTTTTAAAAAGCTATACTCAGTATTATGTACAGTATTTAATTTATTATTGTCTTTTGTCTTTTACCTATTTTATTGTTGTTGTACTCCATAGATTTTATTATTACATTGTCATTATTTTTTATTTCTCATATGCATTCGTCAGTCACATGCTTTGCTGGTGCTCAGGAGGCGTGAGTATGCCTGGGAATTCTTAAATCATAGGGTAGCATAGTGGAATACTGAAAAGTAACTTGCAGAGAGCTGTAGCAAATGCTGCACAGCACAGCTAATTCTTTCTTTCTTTCTTTCCTCCGTCAATAGTCATGATATCCACCAACACTATCTACAAATGTAATTTCCCCACATTTGTTTTCTGTAATCTCTGCTTCATGAAAACTGTTCAGACCTCTCTGTCCTGCTATTATTACAGCCATGTGTGAAGTAGCCATGGCCACTTGACTTACTGATGGACTCACCTCATTCTGTTAAAATGGTAATGTGGGCTTCTGGAGCTTAAAAAAAAGGCGTATAAAATAAACAGTGGTTTTAAATAGTTGATTTTTTTAACGACCTGCACAACAATATGGTTTCATTTTGGCTCTCTCCCGCCCGTGGGCCCTCAGGTCCTGCTGGCAGCCTTCGGTATGTGCACACAACTGCTATGTTTTTTATATACAGTCTATGTGTTAACTTCATACTCATATTCCAACAAAAATGGTCTTGTTAAGTTGTCAAAGGTCCAGACATCAAATCCAATAAAAACATTTAGGCCAAAATACATTATTCCATCAATAAATCCCAAGGGACTGCTGCTGCAGCGTTTCATATTTGCCGGCAGACGGGGCTCGTAACCGTAATAACTTCCAATTTGAATGTAAACAACTCCAATTTCTTGTATTCAAATTAGTCGCTGAACTCTGACCTTTCGAGTGACACCAAATTCGACCCAATAGAAGTTCACATGTCCCTTTCACAGCCTAGAACAGCCAACAAGAGCCCGCGTTGTAAGGTAGGACCAGGCTCTATTATTTCAATTGTGCCGATGACTGGCACTTTGTGTAGCCAATAACATTCTGAAATAACAATATCCAGTTTTAAGTAGGAAGTTCATGATCTAACAGCAAAAAAACACATCTGTGTCGAGCTACCAACAAGGAGTGATGCAGCAACAGCCGCTTCCCGCCAACGGATGGTGCATTTTTCATGGCATCGGTATAAAACTTAAACTTGGACTAGGCTTTATGCTGTGGACCCACAGTGATTTCCAGCTAATAAGTCCCAGCTATAGTTGTCTGCATGCTCATTGAAAATGAAAAAATATATTAGTTTTAGTGTGTTTAAACTTATATTAATCAATTCCAGACTTTTGGGTTAGACACTACAGAGTGTTGTCTTTCAGAGAAACCCAAAACCATATGCATTTATTCCAAATGATTAAAGAACTACATTCAATTTACTTTGGATATTATTGGATATTGGAATTTTACTGGAATGAGAGGTTAACAACCTTGGTCTCATTTTTGTAATTTTGTCCACCATGTGTATCAGTGATATAATAAAATGTAATCACCAACTACATCTCTGAGATCTGGTACACTGCTAAACAGTAAAATTACCATCCGACAACATGGTTCAACTTTGACCTACGTTACTTGACATGGTTGTGCACAAACAGTTTTTCTGTGCAATGAGTGATGATTACTGACACTTTTTACCACCAGATAAAATGGTTAAGATAGTCCTGGTTTGTTTAGAACCTGTCTGATGATCAGACTACTTGGATGAGTAACTACAATGTTTTCAGTATCAAAAGATAGAAATGAAAATTAAATGAATAGTTGTTTATTGTGGTTTCATGTAGGACATTTTGTGACAGGCAGTGCACTCTCAGTATCTCCCTCTGGTTTATTTAAAACGTTTCTCTTTATGAAACGATTTTGGTCAAAAGAAGTGAATAATTCATCACCCAAGCAGACTTCCCTGTCCTACAAGCCCATTAATTTTAATTGTGAGTTTCATTTTCAATATAATATTCAGTCCATATTCCATCCAGGCCAAGTACTCTGTATCTGTTGGTGAATGAGCTGTTGCCTTATTTTTACCAGCTGTGTCCTTGATCATTAACTTCTGAAAGAAAAATCTGCAGAGATAGAAGTAAATGTGACTGTCTTAACTCCAACTTCCCTTCTTGGCTGCTGATTTCCCTTTGCTAAATAACAGTTTCTTATCTATTGGGCTCTAACAAACAGCTTTGTACACAACTGAGTCCTAAAGCAGCCTTTGATTTTTGCTGTTGTTATTCAGAGTAGGAGCTTAAATGAAAAAGGACAAACAATTGCTGCCAAATTGCATGCCGTGTCTGAAGAAATCTGATTAATGGTCTCTTAACAAGCGTTCCAAGGAGACTCTGCCACTCCTGTCACCCAGGAATTCACTGTAAATGACAGAGTCAAGGGTAAAAGTGATCTTTTCAAATATGCTTGTTCATAATGGCCCATACTGACGCCTGAAATTCTAACCTTAATTTTGGCTGTGCATTGTTATGGCACGCAGACACATAATGACAACATTTCTCACACATCACCAGGCTCATGCATTTAGGTTTTAACTCTGCAATACTGCTCAGAGGTGGGACTGCTCTAAACACAGAAATAATGTGTGCTATTAGATTAAACCAAATTTCTCTGCTGATTCAAAGGCCGAAAATTTGACTTGGAAATGACTGCAATGATATATTTTATGGTTTTAGTTACTGTGTTCCATTAGAAATGGCTGTTAGAAGCTAAACGTGTCAACATGTAGCCTGAGAAGCATCAGGCCCTGTGATGCTTACGTGTCATATTTAAAATAAAGTACTCATTCAACCAAGACGTTAAACTGTCTGGGTGGATTTTAGTAGACAAATGACAAAACAGCAAATATTTATATCAGGGTACACACATTTATATTGAGTGTATCTGCCCTGAAAAGATCCACTGCCAGTAACAGACATTTATTAGAAATTCATTTTAGAGAGAATGGTGAAGAAACACAATATACACTAGGCCTGTCACCCACCCATATGTCTGCTAACCCTGCCCTCTGGTGGTAACAACACAGAGGTCCTGCTTCAGCAAATAATTAAATTTTTAGTATCCACAGGGGATGTTATTATTCCACACAACTTTGTACTCTGTGACAACAAGCTCCAGCTCTCTGGAAATAAAAATGAATGAATGATTAAACATTGAAGTGTGGAACAGATTGGCCTGTGACATCATCAGTGATGCAACTTAGCAATCAGCTGACGCACTACTTTTAGGCTCACTAACAGTGGATTTCCTGGTTACAGATGAAGAGATCAACATATTTTCAGATATTTTAAGTATGTCAACTGTATCGTGTATTGAATACTAAAATAATCCCCCCCAAAAATTGGTTTATTTTTGAGGTTATAGTATGCAGCGGAGTTTAACTGGACTTCATTATTTTTATACATGAAGGTTGAAGATAGTAGAAACACATTTCTTTTAAAGATTTTTTTGTGGCTTGCAACACAGGTCATTCGCTGGAATCAAACCAGTAACGTTATGCAGAATATACAGTCTGGCTACCAAGGTGCTACAAATCTTTGAGACACATTTCCAGATGAAGCAGTCCAGCACAACGCAACCACTTGGAACTACCTCAGTAATAAACCTCTATTTTTGAAAGAACACCTCTGAGAAAGCCATGACATTTTGACTTGTCGTGGCATGGCTTCCATGCGAGTGAGCTAACATGCACAATAGCAAGGTTCTGAAATTGGCCCACCCATGATTAATATAAGTTCCACCTGTGCTTTACCTTCATTAACATATCCAACTGTTGTGAAAATGCTTATTTGGACAGTGGGTATTGTCCATTTATATATTCTCTCCCATGAACACTTGAAATTGTTAACTTAGAATCATTATTATTATCCTATTGGTGTTAAAAGTCATGAAGTCATGCAATATGCAGTCATGTAAGCAACAACTGCCTGCTTAAACATCCACATAGAGCAATATTATCATTCATCTGGAGTCATGTTTCTGGCTACTGTAGACAATGTAAGTCAAATTTTCACTGTCATTTCACCATAATTTTGCTCTCCATTAACTCCTTAGAGAAATATGTCTCTTCAGTTGCTAAATACTTCACTATGTTCACCATGTAGTTGATAATACTGCCTGTCAATCGTTTGGTGCTGAGCAGGTAGTGTACAGTGGGTTTATAGCTTTTTTGCTGAAAACAGCTGCATGCTGTTTTGCAGGTGATAAGAACCAAGTTGCCGGCTGGAAATCCCAAAAAAATTGCTAAAAGTGAGGCATATAGCTCAGGGTCACTACGAAAAACATAACATAATTGTCATTTGAACCATTTTTAATACAAAAATATAGATTAGTGCAGCTTTAAAGAAAGTTAATATACATAACCAAAGAGGGTTTTAATTAAGTCAGATTATTTACAGGCTTGTCCACATAAAGTAAATTAATTTTCTTTCACTTAGAGGCATCTACATTTGGTCTGTTTGAAAGAAGGGAAAGTCTGTTATATGAAGTGTTGTTAAATGAGAATAGTGTGAGAAGTTTGGGCATCAAAACTGAGTGCTTGAAGTCTTGAGATTCCATGTCTGGCGGTGTTTTGGAGCCTTCTTTTGGCCATATGTGCTAAAAAGGTTGGAGAGGTATGCCTGCCCTATATAACTTTAAATGACATATATTATTGTATTTTTCACTTATTGTGTACTATCTTTGAACCGTCACCCCCAACTTTACCTGCTTATTGTCAGTGCAGACAATAATAACATATTTGGCTCCTACACAAGTCTCTGGCTTAATGGTATTTATTATTATCTTTGTGGGGATTTCCATCAGGATGTGATTTTGAATATTAATCACTCCATGCCTGCTGGCTTTCAGTACACATTTCTGAGCCACATGGACATTTTAAAAATAACATTCACAAAAGCTAATGACAACCACTGGGTCTCACCAACCATTCTTCAAATCAAATATCAACTAATAGAAGCAAACATGAGACAGAAGGCATCTTAATTTCCTCTTTACCTCCTCCCATTTTACACAGAAGCTCTAACGTACTGTATTGTCGGCACAGCTAAGAGGCTGATTTGTAGTCAGGTGCCTTACTCTGAAATTACACATAATTTCACCGCACTATATGTATTTTACACATTACCACTCAACTCTGCTTGGACAGTCTTTAACTACTCCTGCTTGCACAAGCCTTTTACATTCACCATACACTGTGTACTACTACTTACTTTGGGTCACCAAGGAGTGTGTGCTGTACTGCTCACCTGTGTGGAAGATAAGGTGCTTTATCCATGTATATGTGTCAGTATGCAGTCATTTCTTTCTTCAGTGCGTTTTTCCCTTACTTTATTCATCTCCAGGGAGAAATTTGCATGTCACAGAAGTACTGCAACTGCTACTAATACTGCAAAAAAAAAAAAAAACTAGTGTCAAACGCAAGTGCTAACAAAAAAGTATAAAGTATGCCCTTTTAAACATGTGCATGCATACATGTGTGCAAAATGAATTTAATTATAAGTAAAAAGTTGTAAATGTATTGCTCTGTGCCAAAAGGTAAGGAAAATGTTATTAAAATGAAATTAGACTTCAGCAGCCTCCCAGTCCACTGGTGTTCATACTGCAGCACAGTGCAGATGAGTTATACAGTTGGATGGAAACCGGCAGTAATCATTTCCTGTTCGGTGGAACACCTTGGGGATGGGTATAAGTCTTTGGCTGAAGACACTTCTCTTTTCAAACAGCATGTCATGGAGGCGGTGGAACGGAAGGCGTTGTTCAGGATGTTAACCCACTTGGACAGCATCCTCTTCTCTGTCGCTACCTCCAGACAGTCCAGCTCAACTCCTTCTCCAATCACTGAGCACATGTAATTGCTGTTGCTTATATGTTATATAGTTTGTCAAGAACTATATCAAAACAAATTAAAAGATTATGCCGTTAAAAGACTGTCTGGTGCATGTCCTTTTTCTTAAATGCCAAGCCTGATCACAAATCACATGAAAAGCCCACATATTTGGTGCTGTAATGAGCATGTTGCAAATTAGCAACTGCTAAAAACACTGATACACACATTGGATTGTTGTTTTCAGTTAATCTATGTTAGTTGTATCGGTCCCTAATAAAGTAACCATAAACAAATCATTTACAGCAGCAGGACAGACTATATGGATTGAATTAAAGTGAACTAGAGTGGCTGTATTTATGTTAATGAAAGAACATGTCACTCTGTGCAACAATGTGGCAGATTTGTGTGTTTTTATAGCTTTTCGGCAACACTGGAGATCTATGAATAAGCCATATTAGGCTTTAGATACCCAGGTGATACTTGTTAGTAGGATCAATTTACTGTGCCAAACTTCCTCAATGTCCTCAAGGGGCAATTGTGCCAACACTGACCATTCTCAACTGGGATTCTCCAGCATGCATCATGACAGGTTGTAAATTGTCCAGTCTCAGCTGGATGTGTTGGGGGCAAACACCTTATTGTTAATTCTGGCTGTATTAGCGAGGAGAGGTAATTAATCAAACAAAATGTTCTGGTACACTGTACTTAAGAGTCATTTATTCTCTCTGCTCAGCTCCTGGATGCAGAAGGAGCAACACATGCAGTGCTACAAAAACAGACTAGACAAGTGGTAAGTAGTAGGTTACAAATGTCTTCAAATAATTATTAACGTGGCCATCCGAAAGGTATAAAATACATCTAAAAATTCATGTGTTCAAAACGGAAATGATTTCAGGTTAAAAAAAAAGTTTGTCCTCATGGCGGTGCCAGATTGAGAGTCAGGGGATCACAAAAGGCTTCTTCCTCGGTGGACCATGAATGTCTGTAAAATACTTGGAGATAATTCAGTCTGGACCAAAGGGGGGACCAACAGACATTGCCATCCCAAGAGCTGTGTCACTAGCATAGCAACAAATTCTGAGCATAGCTTCTTTAATACAGAGGTTCATTCAACCTAAAACTGAGTTCTTCTTGCATTAAAACCATCGTGATGAGCAGCAGCCCCCCTGCTGCTTCAAATGTTCTTAGACCTACACTCATTCAGGAGTTGCCACTAGGTCAGATGGGTTCGCTTGGTGGTTTCGGATCTCGAGGGCTATTTTGACCTTTGTTCATCAAGGTCTGCAGTGGTTAGGCCTGCTTGGTAAGTCTGCCCCACTGCCGTCTGCCCTTTGAATCTCACTAACACATTGTTTAATGTGTGAGGAACTTTTATCATTTCCTCCAACCACGACCAGCAAACTTATCATATGTATTTTAAGTGTCTTGGCTTGAGGATGACTAAAGAGGAGTTGAGTTAAATTTACATAGCTAAAACTGCACAAATGTCAGAATCACATTTGTATACCTGTGTAACCAAAGCCTGACACAGCTAAATTCCTTTGTTGTCCAAAAACCTTTGAAAACACATAAATGAAGCACATTGTTGCACTGAGTGACATGTTTCTTCATCATGATGAAGGGCACTGTATTTAATTTTGAATCAAACCACATACACCATCCTGCTGCCATAAATTCTCACTCTCTCAGTGATTATTAATCCTCTGCTAAGAATAGTCCCAGAAAAAGCACTTTACTCCTGTTTGAGTGAGATTTGGAAAACATAATAGTTTCCAGCTGTTTCAGGAAATCAGTTCGCCCTTAAAAAAAAATAAACTACTGTATATATTTGTGAGCTGTGTTTAAAGATGGGCTCACACATTGTTGGTCTTATTCTTTAACCCCCACATAGACAGCTTGAGCCCTGAACTTCCAGCACTTAATAATAATTCCATGGCATTGCACTTTCAGAACCAGATCATTAAACTCCCTGTAGAAAGTGATAAAAACTATAGTGGTGGAGAGAAGGAGGGTCAGGGAAAAAATTATGTTGAACTTTAGAGACAGTTTATTTAAACTTGAGTTCATTTACAGCAGTTCCACTGGAGAGGAAAAGGATTTGAATGACATTCTAACCACATTAAACTTATGGTCCTATCTACTGTATGTACAGGGAGGAGGATGCAGCTCGATAGTGCAGAAGGCACAGAGTTGGCTTAATACTTGCCTGTAAGCGCTACTAACATGACAGAAAATGATAACAAGGTGAAATGGTAGCCTTTGTATTGGAGACTTGTGTTTTGCTTAATGTAAAGCCTACAACACACCGAGATGACGCAACTAAGGAGAATATGGTTCCTGCCTGTTAGTCCTTAGTGATATAGTGGAGTAGTTTAAAAACTACAACAGCAACCATCTGCTCCTTTAAAATCCATTTCTCTACATGTGCACTTAAAGGTGGGATATGCAATTCTAATCCAATACACAGCTTTTTGTAAAATGCAGCAAATATCTTCCTCACGGTTTACTAGCTGTATGTTGAGAGTGTGCACTGAAAAAATATTCGGTGCTTGTACACAGCCCTGGCTCTGTAAACGGGAAACAAATAAAATGGCTAGGACCAAGCCACACATCACTATTCCAGCCATGATTTGTGTGTCAGGTAACGTTAAATTACTTCCCAGCAGACATTCTGCTGACTTTCTAGTTCGTCAAGACATGCTGCTATAGCAGCAGGAGTGTTTTGGGTATTGCTGTCTGGAGGTGGCGTGCTGCCTCTGGGACTGTCTCGTCCTCTGCATGTTAGCTTCGCAGCTGCAATCAACAGTTTGCTAACCCACAACTTAGCTACTGTTAGTTACATTACTTGCTGTGTAGTTGTTCTCTCTATATCATGATTTCCCCAGAAATGCATACCCCACCTTTAACAAACATGGTAATTTGCACTTCTTATAGCTCAGAAGTGATAAAAATTTAGTATTGTGTTTGGATTTGTTCCTGTAAAAAGCAGGTGTGTTTTACAATATGTGATATGCAAAAAAAATGCAAACTTAAATGAAACATTAATGCATTTTGCAATTTTAGAGACGCACTTCTAATCAAGGATGACTATAGTAAATCACACAAGGAGGGGTAAGAAGCAGGTAAATGCAGGTTACCAACATTAATTATGATGGTTTGGCAATAATATGGCATGCTTCATTCACATCTTCAAATTCCCTTCAGCCACACACATCCAACCAACCCCCAAATTTTCCAACTGTCCAATAAGAGCTGCTGGATCTCTCCCCCCGAAAAAAGTTCCCCCTTGAAAGTCCCACTGTGAAAGCACAGGAGTGATAACGGAAAAAGCAACAGACCCTTGCTCAAAACATGATACACATCAGAATTAGGAAGACTTGTCCTACCATCTTTCAATAGGGGGGTAAAAACTTTTTTTCACCATTATAACCAAAACCCAACACCTTTCACTCATTCACCAACATACATGAACAAAGTGTTGGATACAATAATGTGACAAGAGATTCATTTTTGCCACGAAAGGATAAACCTTAGAATATATGGATACCACTTGAACAAAAACACAATTCAAGTAAAGCCTTTTCAACTGAAAAAAATCTAACTACATCATAGTTTTAAATCACTTGGAATTCTTGCATCCCAGATTTAGATTATGCTGCTTATAAAAAAGTACATTCAACAGGTACATCAATTATGGAACAAAATTATAACAGAGGTAAGTAAACTGTATCAGTAATTGCTATTGAAAAAAAGTCATACATAACGGACATTAAAGGCGGACTTAGACTGTTATTTCTACTTTACTTTTCCCTTGAGACTGTAGGAAGGTTTGGATTTTACACCTTTTACAGGGTCGGCTTAGACAAATTGAACAGATTTTACATTTGTGTGTACAGCTCAGTGGACAGTGGGTGGTGACTCAGGATTTTAACATTGACAACAATACTAACCATATCTAATTAGAGCACTATTGTCCTTTTTATTGCAAATCGTATCCGTGTTGCAGTACATTTATAATACATAACTGTCAAAAGTCAGTGGTTCTCTTAAAATATTAATTACATAACTATTGGACGAGTATGAATTCCATTCTTAAAGCTACAGTTGGAGTTTCAGAGATTCACAACAATGCAGGTGAAAAACATTTTACTGGAGGAAATCAGAGACCTTGTTTTGTTTATTTTCTGTGCCCAGTCAGGTCAATGTAGACTTCTGCTTTGAAGAAATTCCATTACAGTTACTAGTATCCTTTCAATAACAGACACTTAGTCAGTTGGAACGAGATTTTAGAGAATCAGTCTAAAGCCGCCTTTTTTATCTAAAGATTTCCCAAACTCACTTACACACATTCGCACACCAACCGACTTTTTGCACATTTTGCTGTACTACAAAATAATAAAAAATAAAATTATTTATTCTTAAATATATTATAATGGTTATATATATATATAAAATGATGTTTATTTTCAGGAAGAGTCCAACTGAAACAAGGTTTGTGAAGTTCAGTAGCAGACTGTTTACATGTGACCTTGGACAAACCGAATCACAAGAACAAATAACACAAAATGTGCAAAAAATCTAAAGGGGCACGAACTATGCAAACACTTGAACACATGAAACTGATAACAAATTGCTTAAAATAAAAGGACAAGTAATTCAAAAGCATCCTAAAATATAATAAATTGACATTTACATTAATAGGACAAAGATCACAAGATCAAGTTTGATTTCACACTACAGGCTTTTTACACTGGAAGAAACAAAAAGAGGATGGCGGTGGAAGAAGGGACCATCAAGCTAATGTTGGAAAGACAGAAACTGATCTCCCTGTCTATTTTTAAGCGAGCAAGTCCATTGTAGGTAAGGCAAGGCAATGTTTTGCTTCATCCAGGTGCAACAAAGAAGACTGTATTGAACATTACTGAAGTCTAGAAGCCAAAACTACATAACTGCTGCAGAGCAATAGGCAGCAAATAAATGACAAGAGGCAGGCGAGAGATGAGGCCACAGAGAAAACAAAAAGCATAAAATCATATTTTAGTGCGAAATCTACTTGTTTTAACAAAACAAAAACAATTTAACACCAACCACAGGTTCCGCA